TTATTCGCGCGAACAGATAAAAAGTAGGAAGCTATCCTACTTTTTCGCCGCGAATTTTTTCGCCGACCAATAACGTTGTCGGATTTCGGTTTTCGCTTCGCGTCGCGCGAACAAATTCGCGTAGTGGAGAACGGGCTTTACGGCCGCGTTCATTACGCCGAAGCGAAATTGTTTGAAAACGTCACTTTTGCCGTAACATTTGAGCACGGTTTCTAAACAGAACAAGATGAAAACGGAGCGGTTGGCGGCGGCTTCGTGTGAACAGCGGCATCCTCTTCCTCCACTTTAGCACATATTTTTAAACAAAGTTATACTATACAAACTACAAAGAAAACGTGTATTACTTCTTGTTTTTTAATAAATTTTAGTATTTTGGGAAAAAATGTTTCTCGTATTTCCATGGCGACAGTGAAAGACATAAGCCATAGATATCTTGGCATAAGCTGGCAACAGAGCGAAACGGCATACTGTAAATAGTTTGTTTTTTACTTCAGAGCGAAAATTAATACGGTATGAAAAGTAATACGGTATAGTGTAAACGGGGCCTGAAAGAGCTATTTAGCTATGACGGAGCCTCAATCCTTTGGGCTACAATATATATATATATATATATATATATATATATATATATATATATATATATATATATATATATATATATATATATATATATATATATATATATATATATATATATATATATATATATATATATATATATATATATATATATATATATATATATATATTATATATCAACCTTGTTCCCAGGGCTTTCGTATGAGGACGAGGGGAGAGACGAGAACGCCCTGGTCTGGGCCGGTCACGTGACAACCATATCGCATCCTAGCTCGGATGGCTAACTCGCGTGACGGCGCAAAGTTATACTTTACCATACAGTATATTGTTTTCCCCTCTGTACCAAAGCATTTGGCTTGAGTAAAACCAGAAGACTTAAATTAATTGTTGTAGAAGTATTGGCCAACTACCGGCAAAGGTTTCAAAACAATTGCCACTGGTGGCAACGGGACAAGACGGCACGCAGAGTTCCCATGGACAGAGTTTTAAGTACAAAACATAATCCGAAGATTAGCATCTTGAAACCCGAAGATTAAATCACACGTGATAAATCAATCCAATTGGTCCAATTACTATAAGTAAACCTTTTAAGATGTTTCACAGAGAAGCAATGTCTTGGTAATTCAGTTGTTCATCATAACCTATTATCTAAACATGATGTCGCTGTTACATTCAATCAAACTTCGGTGAGTGTCGACTGCATGTTCAATTTTACCTCAATTACCTGCATGCCTTGGTTAATATCAAATCACTGAAAAGCGTAATATTGGCCGTGCCAATTCTATTATCTCTATTGTATTGTATTCTATTGTAGTTACGCGTGACGCCATGCGTAACGGCGAGAACTAATATGTAATGCTAGTTTCTATTGTTTGAATGCAATTCAAACAATAGATCATGAAGCTTAACGAGGTTTATATAAAGCAGGCCTAACATTGATAAGTTGGCTACAATTGCTAAAAAAATAAACCAAAGAGTTTGCCAGTTTCGAAGTTCGAACAAGACCCTTTTATATAGTCGTCCTTAACTTCCTTTCTGACGCGCAGTTCCCAAGTTCGTTGCAAGTTGGGCGTGAACTTCCCAACCAACATCCGAGCGTCGATTGGGTACAAATTTTGTTGCGTTGATTGACAGAAGTGACAACAATACAAAGTAAAACAAACTAGTCAAGGTGAAGCAGGTAGCCTGTATTCGCTGTGTTTATTTTACAGTGTAATATGTTTACGTTACATTATATTTCTTCCTATCCTATCACAATAGTGCACAGTTTCAAAGAAACTCTGCACTAAAAATTGTCCACAGCGACAACTGTTTTAACCTGTAAAAAAGGAAATATTTTGAGTCTGAGTCTGCATTTAGATTGACAGTTAAAAGGTTGTATGCGGATTGCAATTTTGTTGTGCTAAATACAGAAAGTGCAATAGTTGGAGGCATTACAACGTAATATTGATAATAGTTCGACTTTGTATGGATAATCATGCGATGGCGAGTACAATTAATAGTACGAGTGATGTTTGGAAATTTTGCAAAAATTGGACGAGCCGCCGGGGCGAGTCCAATTTGGCAAAATTTCCAAACATTACGAGTACTATTAATCCGTAATTGTTACTTGTTTATTATTAGCATGACAACATTGGATAATACTCAATGTCCACATCATATTCTCTCGCCAAAGCCCAGTCCTGACAGACTTTTGTTCGTATTTTCATTTAGTTATTTTGCTTTAAGTTCCTCTAGGGCAATTTCGTTTGTGTTTAAATACATTTCCGCCATTTTGTTTGTTTTGGGAAAATCATTAATTGTACTGCAGTACAATTAATGAAATAATTGTACTCCTCTCAACCAATCAGCATCCAGTAATTTTGTCATGCTAATAATGAAAACAGTTATTGGATAATAAACAACCGTTTTATTATACATTGCATTTCCATTGGTTCAGTTACATTACGTAAACATCTTAAGACGTTTCACAGATAAGCAATGTCTTGGTAATTCAGTTGTTCACCGTAACCTACACACGTAAAAGTCTCACAAGTTGTCAACAAGATGTGTTCGCAATAGGCTAGACTTGGTTCAAGTCCCTCTCTCAAGGGATTGAAAATAGCGATGCACGCGAGCGGTCAAAAAAGGCGCGAAAATATGAGAGAAAAGTAGGGAGAGACGGACTTGGATACCCTGCAAGCGCGCAAAATGTTACCGTCGGATTCACTGGCGTGGCTTGCCACAGTTGAGAACAACAAATTTTCGCGCCAAGTTTTGCAAGTAACATTCGAAATGCTGCGAATGTCCCAAGTCCGTCTCTCCCTACTTTTCTCTTGAGACGGACTTGAACCAAGTCTAGCAACAGGCTTGTAGCAAGCTTGTCAACAAGTAACAATGCTGTTACTTTATCAAGTTGCTACAAGGTTGTCACTCACAACTTGTTGACAATTGTTGAATTGCAGGACGATAACAAGTTGTTGGAACAACTTGTAACAAGTCTGTTGAGCTCAACAACCTTGCAGCAAGTTGTCAACAAGCAGTTGACAACTTGTCAACAAGCTGGGAACAAGCAGTGCGAACACATCCTGTTAACAAGTTGTTAGAACAGCATTGCTACAAGTCTGCTGCAAGTTTGTCACAACTTGTGCGTTTTTACGTGTGTAGTATCCAAACATTACGTCGCTGTTAAATTCAATCAGCCTTCGGTGAGTGTTGACTGCATGATAAAAATAGAGGATGCGCAGCCAGGTTGAAACATTCATTAAACGTTCGCTGACTAAATATTTATTTCTACGAGCTTTCGGCTATCAGTCTATAGCCTTCGACGGGTGTATACAAATTATTCTAAAGGACGTTAAACTTGAGTACGTGGTATGAAATCTGAGACTATCTATGCTATGTTACAAATGGAGGATATGAATATATAATTATTTCTTGAGTTCCTTTCTTAAAAGCATGGATAATAAAATAAATGGATAGGACTCTCGCTGACGTAAGCAAAAACAACCTAGTTGCAATCTGTGACGTCACGCGTATTGCAAAGTTCTCTGCATTTTTGTTGTTTCGCTATATTTTCCGCCTTAAAAGAGCAA